CTGCACGCGTTTTAATGCACGAACGCCAACAATACGAGGCCGCACAATGTGGCTCGAGACCCGTTTATTGCATACGGGCTCAGAAACAATTTTCCTGAAAATTCCTGTGACAATCCAGCTGCTGATGAAAATGTCAACGTGCATCAGCTTTTTTTCTGTGAAGGCTTCATTTTGTTATAAACTGTAGACGTAGTGCATAAAGAACCTAGGCCAAAACGCTAAAGCAGCTGCCAGTGGCTGATTGTGGTCACCATGGTAACCACACATATCTCTCACTCCCTGACATTTAGTTTAATGACAGTAAGATAGAGACCATCTGAGCAAAAGGTCCCCCATCTCTGAGGGATTTGAATAGTGAATGTGTGTAGCTTTCAAATAGAGGTACCGTGTTAAGGCGCACTTTAAATCCTTTAATTTTCTCAAAAATTGACAGTGAGCCTTATGTATTAATTCTGGTTGTGCTTACTACCTCGAACAGATTTTATGTGTTAAGGCTCCCACATACTCGGGCGTACTTCACCCCACAGAGGTCCATGTGTACCGGATTAGACTCAAAGTGGACTCTAAGTGGACACCTCCAAGCCATGTTCATGCTCTGTGTCGCACAATAAACTGACCGGCGATGGACTGTTTTGTATGTGACACCAATGTATTAAATTTCCTTTCTTCATCTGTGATCTGGTTTAATTTCCTTGTCTTTTGTTTTTTTGCCAAAAGGCAACCAATCTCTTCCTCCTCGTCCGTTGACGCCATGACTGAAATTGTGAGAAATGAAGGAATTTGTCACGAGAGAATGAAAATCAGGCCCGGCGTGGCTGCGGGAGGGTCTGGAGATTTCCTGGTGGGTCGGTTTGATGTGTGGGCTGCAGAGCCAGCGCTCCCCGTTTTTTTTAAACTTTTTATTAACAACACATAAACACAGAACACCGCTGCCGCTGCTCCTGGGCTGTGATCTGTCGATCAGTCCAGTAGGCATGTCAGCAAATGACCAATCGGCAGCCTCAATTTGTCCCAAAGGTAAACGCCCCTTGCCTGCGGAGCTGGGCTGCAGCCCATCAGGGTGTACGCTCGAGTATGAAGCCTCAGCCGTCTGCAGACAAGGTGCGCAGTGTCCACGTGGCTCACGAAGTACACGCAGTACGCCAAAGTATGTGGGAGCCTTTACAAGTGAACAATGTTGAGAGTTACTGTGAATGAGTTGAATAAAGTTTGACTTATCTGATCGTTTTGTTTCGCTTAATGCACCTTATAATCCGAAAAATATGGTGGGTTTTTACTTTTTACTTGTCCAAGGTGGTACAAAGTGACAGATCCTGGCAAGAGGAGGGAGCATTTTTATCCATGACCAGGCACAATGGCTGAGCCAGGGGGTGGCCAGTGGTGGCCTTGGCACCATATGATCCTTGGCCACCCCAAATGTTTGAGGAAACTATACTTTTAAGCGGCAGCACGGTGGCGCAACTGGTAGAGCTGCTGCCTCTCAGCGAGAAGGTTGCCGGTTCAGATCCCGGTCCGGGGACCTTCCTGGGTGGAGTTTGCATGTTCTCTCCGTGCATGCGTGGGTTTTCTCTGGGTACTCCGGTTTCCTCCCACAGACCAAAAACATGCATGTTAGGCTGATTGGTAACTCTAAATTGTCCCTAGGAGTGAGTGAGAGAGTGAATGGTTGGTTGTCTCGTTTGTCTTTATGTGTCCCTGTGATGGACTGGAGACCTGTCCAGGGTGTACCCCGCCCCTCACACACTGTCAAACTTTTTATGTTGCTACAATGTTTTATTTAAGAGATATGATGTTACAAAGGTTTTGAGCAAAAAATAATAAATAGTCTGTGGAAGTTTTATAATCCTCAAACAATAAAGCTCTTTTGCCAGCAAACAGTTTGCTGATTAGTGCTTCTACAAAAAAAGGGAAGGTCAGGTTTTATTCCAGAAATCACTAAAGAAGGAGAATGATAAATGATACGTTTTCCCTCAACCTGATTTATCTTTGGCTCCTGTTTTTCCACAAACTGCCAGGAACGAATGCACGTCTCTCGTTTAGTTGTTTGTTTCAGACAGACCGTCTTACTCAGTTGGATTTCTTCCTTTGACATTAATGAAAGTTTTAGATAATTTCTGACACTTTTGTCCAAACAGGTTTCAAGTTCCTTTGCTAAAAGATGCCGCAGCACATCTGATCCAACAACGAGAAGACCGAGAGCTTCGAGCTACAACGGTAAGACGGCTGAAACGTCACAAAATCATTCTGTGTGCTTCCACCCAAACCACCGGTCTGAACTCCACATATTATAGATTGCAGCAGCTTGAATCCAGCACAAACACCAGAAAATTACCGGTTCTATTTAAACACTGTCCTGTGAGCCCGAGTTTCGCTTCTATCACAGAAAGAAGTTCTGAACGCTCAGATTTCCTCTGATTTTAGCTGATCAACATCACTTTTAGACCTCTAAGAAATTGGCGAAAGAACAAAAAAAGTTTTATTTGAAAGTACTGTTGCAGTAGATCTTCTCCGAAGTGTTTCCTCTCAAGACTTTCACATTTTTATTGTGTTCACACACTAAGAAACACTGGAAGTTTAATTTCTAAGGTTGATTAAAGTTGTTCACTTTGTCACTTATCGGGTAATATTTAACAACTTGATCATAAATAAAAGATTTTGAAAATGAACAAATCATGATATGTTAAAGATGCCAAATGTACCTACATTTTTTATAAGGACAACAAACTTACAAATTCATGCCGAGGGGTCTGCAACCTGCGGCTCTGGAGCCACATGTTGGTCCCTCTGCAGCGGCCCTTTCAAGCTTCGACCAAAACAAACACAAAACTGAATTTTATTGGTTGTTATACAAACAACAACAGTTTTAGCCGTTTTCCTGTCATTTATGTTGCAAATACTCACTTTAACTTTTTGCTTTATTTCTATAAACAAATGGATCATGAATAAATGAAAAGTTATCAATCAAAATAGCATCATGGTCACCCAGAACAAACTTTAAAACAAATGTTTTTAAACGCAACGCTCTCTGGCATCCTTTGTGGGGTGCTGCAGCACCCGCTGCACCCCTACTTGCAAAATTGTAAAGTGTTTTTTTTAACGTTTTCTTCTTGTCGGAACATCAAAAGAGTTTTACTTTTTATTTCTTCATATATCCTCTGCAGAAGAGCTGGTAAATAGAAATAATAAGAAAAAAAATCCACATGACATAAACACTTTCTATTTAAGGACAGTAAAACTTTTTACACCGTTTGGGTGCAGGTGGGGTTGTATTTATTTAGTATGTTGTAAAAACTTTATTGAAGGTACATGGGTCAAGAAAACCACTTCAAACTCAAACATTTCTTTGCGGATGCTCTTTTGTAAACAATTACTTCATCGTTAGTCTCACTTCACACAGTTTTTTCAAGATTTCTGCATTTATTGGCAAGCAGAAATCAATCAATCTATTTTATTTATAAAGCACCTTTCATACTAAAAGCAGCTCAAAATGCTGTGTAGAATTATAAACAACAAAACCACAAGATAAAAGCAAACAATTGTATACACAACTGTATGGAAACTGTAGCAGAGATGGAGGTAAAAAGATGGTTCTTGAGCAGCAGCTAGCTGTAGCACCTCTTGTGCCGCTTCCTGCTGGAGTGATATTATTTATCTGCTGCATCTGTGGCCTGGGAAATTAATTTTTCATGTAAAGGTTTATAAAGTAATGTTTATTTGAACTGCTGTGAGAACGGAGCTGCTTTGAGATGACAGCGGTCAACTTTGGTCCTTTCCTCTGACTGGCCTTAAAGGTGCATCTCAACTCAACTTTTCTGTTGCAGACTCGCTGAATTCTGAAAGTTTGCAGCCACACAACCAGGAAGGCATGAAGGAGGAGAGAAAAAAAAACATAAAGTGCTTTTTTTTTATATTCTAAATTAATATTTCCATGAGCTACTGACAAGTAAGAAAACCATACTTGTGTTTTTTTCTGTATCAGCCATTAAAACTATATCACTTGCATGTCTTCCCTTGTTGGCAGCTTGGGAAGCTTCTTTAGGTTCAGTGCATAAAAAAAGACAGCAGCAAAGAGTAAATGAGGTCAGATTGAAGATCTTGAAGCTGCAACGTGTCCACAGTGGAGCCAGACTGCTTTGTGGATCTGCCAGATTCTCTCTCTCCTCCTCCTCTTCCATCTCCAACGTCATGATGCAGCCATGTCTCAACCCTGACTGTTGTCATTTCTGTTCCTGTTACTGTGAAAGTTGCAAAGCAAGAAAGTGTTGGAACAATAAAAGTAAAAACACGTGTTTGGTCTCAGCTTCTCAAAGAAAAAAGAAAAAAATAAAGTTTGAATTTAATACCTGAACTATCATCGAGTGAGTGTGTGGTTTTATTTAAAATGAGAAATGATCTTGTTACGTTTCTCCAGTTTGGAGCAAATATTTGATAAAGGAATGATATAAAGATGGAGATAAACTTTAATAGACAATATCATGAGATTAATTCTTCTCAGTAATGGGCAGAAGCATCTCATTCTTAGTATACATGAGCTCCATGTCCGTGCGTAAAATGCGCACACTCCTTCATATTCCTCATCCTGAAATGTCATTTTAAACATGAATTTTCCTTCTCTATTTTCAGGATTAATTAAAGCACAATAACGCCCTTCTCGTGTGGCATCAAAAAATCCCAGGGTTTAATAAAACCGAACATCTGTCTTATCCAAAACCTGTGAAGGTGTGCGCGCGGTGTCTCACAAAACACAAGTCCTAATTAAGAAAATCCACGTAGAGTCGAGGATAAGATGTTTGAATGCTGCAGAGCCGGCGCGTAAATGATGGCTTTCTGCATCCTCCACGTTTTGATCTGGGACGTCCACTTGTTTTAAGACGGCCCCCATCATCTCACACGAAGGAGGGTTCTGTGACTCCAACATGCACCAGTTATCTGGTGCGCGCAGGACCTCCCCAAAGTTTTTTTCGCCATATAAAAGCCAAGCTAAGTCATTTGTTTGGGCAGTAGGGAGTTTCTGCTAGGGTCTGGATTGGAGTTACGCATAGACCGGACCCTGCCCTGTATGAGTGCCGTCTGAGGAGGAAAAAGAGGATTCCCTTTGCCACAAAGAATCTACATGTCTAATATTTAGACATGTTCAGCTTTGTGGATATTCGGTTAGCGCTGCTGCTCAGCGCAGCGGTGCTCCTGGTGAGGGCTCAAGGCGAGGATGATAGTAAGTATCAAACTTGACTTTTGTTTCTTCTGTTTTTGAGTGGCACTCTCAGGATGTGGACAGTCCGCTGAGCAGGATGCTGGACCTTTGGACTCCACCTGACAAGAGTTGAGGAAAGTTGTTGAGGCGTTTTCATGAGCTCTTTTTTGTGTTTTTGGGATCTGGAGTTTGAAAACTGGATTTTTTTTTTTCTTCCATATTGTTTTCCACTTTTCTGGCGTGCAGACACATGCCCAGTGCGTCCTTCTGCTGGAGAGCAAACCTGAGGAGATGCATTCCCTCTGATGCGCAAAGTCATTAGAGCTTCACAAACCCATCTTAGGCTCAGAATGAATCTTCCTGGTTTAAACTGGAAACAGTTTTCTGTCATTTTAGAACGTTTACACTCTAAACTCATCAAAAAGGAGTGGACGGGCACTTTATGAGTGTTAACGTAAAAGCAGAAGGTTTTTTTCTGTTTATGGTGATAAACGTTTGTAGCTTTTTAGCTTGTGCAGGACTTGGGTTAAAAAAAAAAGTCACAATGGAAAAATGGCTTTAGTCTGACGTCGACAAAGAAAAAAGCTCAATTAATCACCTTCCTGAGGAGGGTGCGGGAGGCCTTGATGTGCGGAGCTGCAGTGCCGCCCTGTGGCAAACCGTGGAACTGCACCTTTACTGTTCAAACCTCTGAGGCCCAAACCACACACCCCCAAACCCCAAAGGGGTTTAAGTCCTGTCTAATTTTCCACGTATTTGTCTTTGAAAAGAACCTCTTGAGCTGAAACCATCAACCGTGTTCCCTTTAATTGTATTTGTAGTCAGAACTCGTACATGTGGGCCTGCGCCAACCTCATTAAAAGCTCTTCTTCTGCACAAGTAAGTTCGCAAACGGGAACTGTTTTCATTCACGTCAGCACATCTGGCTTTAGCTGCAGTATGATCACCAAAATCCCTGTTTCTGACGCCAAGCAGGGCCGGCCAAAGGGTGGACCAGTGGGGGCCACTGATCACAGTCTGGGCCACCAAAACTAAAAAGAGAGCAACATTTTTGAAGGACTTGTCATATAGAAAAAAAAATATAGCCACACATTTTACTGTCAGAACTTAAAAAAAGTTTATTTCCACTTTTTTTTGGGGTCATTTTTTATATATTTTAGCAACACAGCCAATCTAACTAAACCTTCCCCAAGGTGTAACCAATCATGAAACAGTTGAAACGTGTCATTTTTATCCCTTTTTCTCCATAAAGCATGCTTAATTTACATCTATTTGCAGGTTTATTTTTGTACAAACAAAAAGCAAAAGTGAAAATATCTGTTATATAGTGCTAAAAAATTATAAGCAAGCACAATGTTAATATTTAATGTCTTTTCTGTGCTCGAAACGGTCATTCTTTTATAAGTTTTATGAACAATTTGAAAATAATGCAGCAACCATTTGTCTGTTAAAGACATGCAGTTTGACATGACATAGGAACAAGTAGCTAAAACTTTGATTATAGCGTCACCTCAAGAACAACAAGTGGACTTTAGCTGCTCGGAGCAAAACGCTTTTGGTAAAAAATATTCACCTAGAGCTGCTGCTGTAACTGAGTAGAACGTCTTCTCTCAGTTTTTTCCTTTGGAAAATAATTCTCTACTACGAAGCACAACTTTTGAAGTAATTGCAAACTCTTAATAAAAGTTAACCTACATATTAAAAGTAGATTTCTAAACTTTAGGCCAATAGAATTATATTAAATGGTTCGTTTCCCTCAAATTTTTTTTCCCAGGCCCATTTTCCAGCTGCACATTAGACGGCCAGTTGTACAACGACAAGGATGTATGGAAACCAGAACCCTGCCAGATCTGCATTTGCGACAAAGGGAGCATCATGTGCGACGAGGTGATCTGCGAGGACTCGACTGACTGTGAAGATCCTTACATCCCAGAGGGAGAGTGCTGCCCCGTCTGCGGCGACGCCGACGGTACTCCTCACCTGCTTTGTGGTGTTTTTCATATTCACCTTGCGCCACCTCTTGAGTTTCCTCCCTCCCTGTCTGACCATCTCCGGCCTCCACAAATGGACTTGAAGCTCTCAGCCTGCCTTCCTGCATGCTCATGGATTTCATAATAAATTGCTTTGGATTATATTTTGTTCAAGTTAAAGTTAAGATTTGAAAAATGATGGATTATGCCTGCTTTAATGCGTGAATCTTTGGTTTTTATAGCGTTATCATAGAGTGCTTTATTCTCCAAACCTGCAGTTTGGAGCCTAATCTTTCCCTTCGCATCTAAAAGCGCCTTAAATTTAAATGAATCACGTCTGTTGGGTGTTAACTTTTTCTTTCTGCTGACTTTCTCAGTGCCTCAGTACACAGACCAGGAGACCGAGACCGAGTCCGAGGTATTTGATCTGTTTTAATGCTATCAAAATGTGAGATTACTCATAAGAAACTCAAATAAACTCAGTTTTTCTGTCTAATCCCAGATACCAAAAGGACCCACTGGCCCCAGAGGAGATCCGGTAGGTTCAGATTCACATTCAACTTTTTTTTTGGATTTGTTTTATTATCTCACTGTTAAAATGTACACCTCACTATTAATCAAATTAATCAAGCTCATTTCTTATAAGTGTTCTTGATCATGACAGTTTACAAGACAAAGTGCATTTGTTGAAGCGATTATTTTTGTTTGCTTTAACATCTTACGCACAATTCATCGACCTGTCGTGTTTGAATGAGATGGATTTATCTGTATTTATGAAAATGGCAGGGTTTTAATTTGATACGTGCACTTAAATGTGTAAAAATCTACACAGAAGCTGGGAAGAAAGTGACGTAAATAAATAATGAGGTCGACGTGACGTAGCTGACGACCTCAGGTCACAGGGTCAGCGGCAGGTCAAAGGTCACAGAAAGTGACGAGGAAGAGTTTCTAACGTCATCACGAAACCAGAGATTGTTTTGCTTCTTTAGTTAAACGTTTTGAAGTTTTTGAAGATGTTCTCAAATGTGCAACAGGAAATGAAAGATGAATTTTAAACGAGTTGCAGAAATATTTGACGATCATGAACTGACAGCGTCTGGTTTCCTTCTGCTGCAGGGTGCTCCTGGTCTTCCCGGCAATGATGGAATCCCTGGACAGCCTGGCTTCCCCGGCCCACCCGGCCCCCCTGGACCCCCTGGCCTTGGCGGAGTAAGCGCCTCATTCATGACGTCACACGACTTTGATCAAAACAGAAAATTTACCATAAGAGTGTCAAACCTTGATTTAACTCTGATCCATCGGTGGATTTTGTACACGTGTTGGCTTTGTGCAGATTTAATTATCTGCAGATTTTATACCAGGAAATATAAAAACTTGTGTTTCAGCACTTAGAGAGCAGACAGCTCCACTTCTGCTCATGTTTAATTCAGAGGGAGGGGCATGCAAAACGTCTGTTCAGCTCCGTTTAGTCATTTAAAATAACTCTTGAATTTCATATTTAACTATCCTGATTCATTATAAATACAGTTTATTATATAATTCCAACAATACAAAACAAACTGGGAGAGAAAACTTGAGCTTTCATGTGTTTTTGTACTACAACAGTACTATGACTAATTTCTCATTTCCTCTCCTTAACAGAACTTCTCTCCTCAAATGAGCTACACCGACCACTCAAAATCCAGCGGTATCTCTGTCCCTGGCCCCATGGTGCGAAGGCTTTTCTCTCTACATGTGCCAATAGTTGCAAAATATGCTAGATTTTAAAATGATTCTTTTCCCACCTCTGTCAACAGGGTCCTATGGGTGCTCGTGGTCCTCCTGGACCTTCTGGCTACTCTGTAAGTCTTTTGCATCGTGCTTCATTTTCTTGCACCAAAACTCTAAAATAAAGGAAATGTTGCAATGATGTGTTTGTCCTGATGTCCATCAGGGACCTCAGGGTATTCCTGGACCAGCTGGAGAGCCTGGAGAGCCTGGAGCTTCTGTGAGTGTCCACGATGATCTTTTTGATAAAAGCTCATCTCGTTGTAACCGTCGTTTACGAGCCATGAGACGATTTGTGCAGGAAATCGTTAATATTGTGTGTTTTTAGGGTCCTATGGGTCCTCGTGGTCTTGTTGGTCCTCCTGGCAAGAACGGAGATGATGTAAGTTTTTTACTTTCCTTTTTTTAAAAAACCCTGTTTGCACTTTCTCTACATCCACACCCTTAAATGTATCATATTTGATTTGTTTCTCATCTTTAGAAGTCCTAATATCTCTTCTGACATTATGTCTTATCAAACTTACTGCTGGTAATAATAATAATTGTTTGTAATAATTTTATTCTGTGTGTGCTTACAAAAGGGTGAGCCCGGCAAAGCTGGACGCCCCGGTGAGCGCGGAGCTGCAGGTCCTCAGGTGAGAGATCCTCAGAGATCAAAACACAAAATTGATCCCAAACGAACAAAAAGTCTTTTTGCACATACAGAGGCACAATTTGTCCGAGTTGTTCTTAAAACATTTTACTCGTTTGTTCATTTGCTGGTTGATTCGTCTCTAAATCCAACCCCAAAGTAGAACGAGACGTTTGTAGATTTTAGATGTTTTAACAAATATTTGGTTTGTTTCGTCTGCAGGGAGCTCGTGGGTTCCCTGGAACTCCAGGACTCCCCGGCATCAAGGGACACAGAGTGAGTTTCAGTCGGTCGTCCACAGATTGTGAGAGCCACGACTTGATCTCATGGTGGTCGTTGATTTTGTCCGCAGGGTTTCAATGGTCTGGATGGAGCCAAGGGAGACGCCGGCCCTGCTGGTCCCAAGGTGAGACGTGCTGCTGCCACAAAGAAAAACACAGAGCTGTCGTCAGAAATCCTCTGACACTGCGGCGTTGAGCAAAGCTAACCTTCGTCTTCCTGTCTGTGTTTGTCTGCAGGGAGAGAATGGCGGCAACGGTGAGAACGGCACCCCCGGAGCCATGGTACGTCCCTAAAGCACGACCGATTTAACCTTCAGTCCACATCCATCTCATCTACAAAAACATTTTGTTTTGTTGTAGGGAGCTCGTGGTCTTCCTGGCGAGAGAGGCCGCCCTGGACCTTCTGGACCTTCTGTAAGCCGCGCCGTTTGTCTTTTAATCTCAACCGTTCACTGAAACAACGTTAATGTTTTCTACACGTCTTATGCTCACTGTAACCTCCGTCTTCTGCAGGGCGCTCGTGGTAACGATGGCAACACTGGTCCTGCTGGTCCTCCTGTAAGTATCACTTTTATCAAATTTAAAATATATTTAAAAAAAAACAGCTATTGTGTGTGATTTTGACATTTTCTGTCAATTATATAAGAAATAAAATAATAATAATAATGAAATATTTGCATGGAGTGACAATTGCTAACGACGTGTTGTCATTTCTAATTTAGGGACCTACCGGATCTGCTGGTCCCCCTGGATTCCCCGGTGGTGCTGGTGCTAAGGTAAGCCATCAGAAACTCTCCACTTTTAATCAAATAAGTTATCAAACAGAAACTGGGTGCTCTTTTACGAACTGACCCTTTTTATTGGACTTAAATCCAGAATTCAACCAGATTGAGCCACGATTTTAAGATCTTTTCATCAGATTTGACTTTTTTTTTAATTATAATCTCAGTGTAAAAATTGTTTGTACAGATTAAAAACTGTCCATCACAATAAAAATTAAAACATTAAAAAAAACTCCTAGAGACAAATTTAGGTGATAAAATACAAAATCTTTGGACGACAGCCACTGAAGCACATTAAGTCACACAGTTCAGTCCTACCAGCCACCAGATGGCCTTTTAAAACCCCTCATGGCACCATTCTTCTTCTCTTCCCTTCTGTTTTCAAGCCTACTGTGAATTTTAATTACCTGTCGCTCACCTGTTCTGCAGTCACACCTGCTTGTGTTCAAAATAAAACAACACAAAGAGCTTTAATGGTGGTTAAAGAGGCACAAATGGTGACATACTGACATTAAATGTGTGAATAAACTTGGACTATAATGAGCATTATCTCATCTCTTTAATGTAATCAGCTTTTGTTGTCAATAAATATAATAAGATATTTTTTTATTGAATATTTGTAGCTGTGTGATGTATTTCTGGTCCAGCACAGACAAGATTGCAGGTTTCTTTAATGCTGTTGTTTCCCTTTAAAGGGTGAGACCGGTCCTGCAGGAGGCCGTGGGTCAGAGGGACCCCAGGGAGCCCGTGGTGAGCCTGGTAACCCTGGACCTTCTGGACCTGCTGGACCTGCTGTGAGTACATACTTTCTTTTCTTATTATGGCATTGTTCTTCATTTTTATTTGTAACATTTTCTTTTGTTTGTTTTCCAACAGGGTACTCCTGGATCTGATGGTCAGGCTGGCGCTAAGGGCTCTCCTGTAAGTTACTTTACCCTTGTTTACTCTGTTTAAACTTTACGGCTGCAGCGCTGCTACATCCTCCATCTCCTCCCCACAGGGTGCTGCTGGTATTGCTGGTGCTCCTGGTTTCCCTGGTGCTCGTGGTCCTGCTGGAGCTCAGGGAGCTGTTGGCGCTCCTGGTCCCAAGGGTAACAACGTGAGTGACCCGTTCGACAGTTTTCTATTGCTCAAGATGAAATGGGAAAACTAAATGTGTTTATCTGCCAACAGGGTGATCCTGGACCCTCTGGTTCTAAGGGCGAGTCTGGTGTCAAGGGTGAACCTGTAAGTTCCAGATGATTGCTCATCATCATTCGTTTGCATCTTTGTGTGGAATAAGTCAATAAAAAGGGTGCTTTTTGTTTTCCAGGGCCCCGCTGGAATTCAAGGACTTCCTGGCCCCTCTGGAGAGGAAGGAAAGAGAGGACCCCGTGGAGAGCCCGGTGGTGCTGGACCCCGTGGACCTCCTGGAGAGCGTGTATGACACCTCCACTTTTTTATTCAGCTTCTTTAGATTAAACGCCAAAATTGCCATTGCTGTCTTTTAAAAAAAAAAAAAACGTCTTCCATGTCGAAACAGCAGAAATAACAATCTTAAAGAACTTTAAAGGAAGAAGTGTGAGGTGACGTGCTTGTGCGTCTCCTTTCAGGGTGGTCCTGGCGCTCGTGGTTTCCCTGGTGCTGATGGAGCTGCTGGTGGAAAGGTGAGCCCCATCAAGACAAAGCAGGAAGTGCTTATTGGAGCTGATTTTACTTTCACAAAATCATTTGTGGAAACATAAAAGGAGTTGTTTTTAAGTCATAAAACTGTGCTACATATGTTCTTGCTACAAATCAGATTACCTCATATTTGAACATAACCAGGCCCCCCATGTGTCCAGTCAACCCTCAACAACATCAGAACTTAATTTAAAAACACATCCTGTTCAACAATCCCAACAGATCACTTTCCTTCTCCGCTGCTCGTTAGCCACATTAGCTGCTCAAACATGATTAAATGGATAGGATTAAAGTCCCTCACCTTTCGATTGTTCCTGACTTTTAACAGGGCGGCCCTGGCGAGCGTGGTGCCACCGGACCAATGGGAGCTCAAGGAGCCACCGGTGAGTCTGGAAGCCCTGGTGGTCCTGGTGCTCCTGGATCCAAGGTGAGCTCAGCAACTAATTTCACTTTTCTTGATAAAATCCACCAAAAAAAGTAGAAAACATGTGTTTAATGGGTTTATTTGACTGAATCTCACTTTTCTTATTCATCTCAGGGTATGACTGGTAGCCCTGGAAGCCCTGGCCCTGACGGCAAAGTTGGACCTGCTGTAAGTATTTTAAGCTTCTACTAATTTTTTTCAGAATCTGGCTGCCTTCGCTTAGATGTAGCAATAACTTCTACCAGATGGGATTAAATGGTTCACGGGAGAAGTTTTAAAATTAAAAAAAGATCTCAAATATGATCATGATAGTCATTTTTGGTAAAACTTTTCCAGTCTTCCTGTCAGTCAAACTGTATTGTTGCACCCATAAATAGTAAAAAGCTACTGAAGCAGGAGAGGATGAGCTCAAACTGTCCTCTCTTTTAGGGTGCTCCTGGACAAGATGGCCGCCCTGGACCTCCTGGCCCCTCCGGATCCAGAGGACAGCCTGGTGTCATGGGATTCCCAGGACCCAAGGGAGCCGCTGTGAGTTCATGAAAGTGTTTTTTTTTTTTATGAACTTTGAGCTTTGCATAGACGTAGATAAAGTGCAAGTGTTTTTGTTTTGACAGGGTGAGGGTGGTAAGCCTGGCGAGAGAGGACCTGCTGGTGCTTCTGGCTCTGTTGTAAGTAAATATATAAAATGACTTCTCCTAGTTTGGATTTATACACAAATTATAAACAACAAGAAATAAAAATACTTTTTCTCTCAGGGTGCTCCTGGCAAAGACGGTGACGTTGGTGCTCCTGGACCTTCTGGTCCCGCTGTAAGTATCTCACCTGCCTCCACTGAGGGTCAGAGAATCAGATGAATTTCAGAGTTTCTCACCTTGACGCCTCGTTCCAGGGACCTGCTGGAGAGAAGGGAGAACAGGGACCTGCTGGTGCTCCTGGATTCCAGGTGAGTTTGTAAAATATTCCGACATCCAGAATGTTTTTTTGGGCCACGATATAGTTCTCAGTTTTATTAAAGGAAATACAACTTCACACCTTTATTCTGTGTTTAGGGACTTCCTGGACCCCAAGGAGCTACTGGTGAGACTGGCAAGCCTGGTGAGCAGGTATGAGTCCCAAAGAACCGAAGATTGTTTCTTGTATATGTTCAAACCATTTAGGTTCAGTAGAAATAATTCAGATGAAATTAGATTTATAGCAAATAAGGCAACAAAAGCTATACCACAGAATGACCCCCCTGCTCCTCTGCTCAGGGTGTTCCTGGTGAGGCTGGACCTCCTGGCTCAGCTGGACCCAGAGTGAGTATCTCCTTACGTTCGCGCTGTTCTTCTGACGAGCAGAGAGAACAAATGTAACGTTTCCATTCTTTTCGTCCAGGGTGACAGAGGCTTCCCCGGTGAGCGTGGTGGAAACGGCGCCGCCGGTCCAACTGGACCTCGTGGTTCTCCTGGACCTTCTGGTAACGATGGACCCAAGGTGCGTTTTAAAGGACAAGCGAGGTAGATGTTAAATTGCACCTGTTTGTGCAGTGCAGACGGGATCAATCAGACTGTAGAACTAAAAACAAAAGGGTCAAAGGTCAGAAATGTAAAATCACATGCAGGTTTTTTAACTTATATGTTAAAAATATGTAGACATTTTCATTCTGGTTAGTTTTAGGCTTTTTATTGTTTTATAAATAGATGTAGATTTCCATCACACATAAGCTTCTCTAAAAAAGCTGCATGTTGTACCTCCTTAAATAAATGTACCTTCAGGATGTGTACTTTACACACAACTACTTAAAACTGTGTCGACAGAATACAACATGGCAGCCGTGAAACTTTATTTTTGTTAGGGAGGATGTTTGTGACTTGCACACTCCTTATGTTTGCACTTTTTTAATCTATAAGATATATTAACTGCTTTCTAATCATATCACCACAATGTTGTGTTTTCTGTTATTTTGCAGTCGCGATGTCGCGTTACAACACAAGATCTTTACATTTCAGGCCACCTTTGTTAGTTTTAGACACCAACTGGCCTTTAAACACCGCCACAAAACTAGTTTTTAAAAAAGAAAGCCAAAAATATATATTTTTTTTACAACTAGAGTGATATTAAGAAAAAAAAATTATTGCATAGAAAAATATGCTTGAATTACAACAAAACGGAATGAGTTTAAATTAAACGTAAGCAATACATTAATTGTTTATGGCCAAACATAAATGTGTGATTTCTGTCTTGTATTTTTTTTTTGGTAAAACTACATCATGTTAAGGGTAAGCTTTTAAAATCATCAACATACATAATATTTACTGACTATGGGCAGGTTAAAATCACATTTGAAATGACTTTTTAGGGAAAATAATCTTAATAGTGTGAGAAAATCTATTAAATGTTGTGTTTAAAATAGGATTTTGCCCATTTTTTCCATTGCTAACAGAAACAATAAAAGCTACATAGTGGTACAAAACATAGGCAACACATTTAAAAAAACATTTAAATTAATTTTACTGAAGAAGTGTTGATGCCAAATGGCATTTCTTTTAAATCATATAAATTTATATCATAACTTGGAAGGTCACATTTGCAATTTTGCTGCTCTTATAGTGAATCATGCATTAGAAACTGTTTGGTTAGGATTTAGCAAAAAGAACACAGACCAATTAAATAATACCATTAATAATGTTAACTGACTTCTTCTGTTTAGCCTGAAATTATGTTATTGATGCTACAGATTTAAATCTAGTCTGCAACAGAACAATGCACTGAAAACTGTCATTTTTACTTATATTGTGTTTTTATCCTGCTGTGCTATTGTCATTTGTTATTCAAAATGTGGAAAAAAAATACTTTATTCACACACAGTATTTTAAACACCACCAACAAAAAGTACAACTACGTAGAATATTTTAACTGTAGCAATTATTTTAAATTTTTTTTATAATGGTGCAGTACACTCCCCTGCCACTGGGGGCAACCTGGAGTTTACTGTGTCATCCATCCACTTTAAATAAAAACACTGTTTTAAGGGGACTTATCTCCTCATATGATGGTTTCAGTACAAATTTTATAACCCATACTCTTCACAAAAACAAATAAGACTTTGCTCTTATTAAAAATAAAAATAGACTTCAAATATTTAAACCAAACAACTTTTGAGTCACATAGTTCCCACCTTGCTGCTGTGTGCTCAGATAATCTTTTTTCTAATGCATTTATCTATAATTAGCTCTTTCAGGTTTACAAGACAGATCATGTGCAGGAGTAGGCGGGGCTTATAGCTCCACAACCCTTGTGCACAGACTCTGGTTCCAAAAACACAACATGGCAACCCTCCTATGGCGCTGCTGGCTTCAATTCTCAACAAAGAGATAAGGCAGGGGCATTTGGTCTATTGAAGTTTAATACAGTTTATGTTTTACTCATAGACCGTTTGATAAATATGCTACAAGAACAAAATTGTAGAAGTTGAAGCAGAAATTTAAAGAATGTTGAACTCAAATGCGCCCCCTGTAAGCAGGCCACAGTATATTTAACAAGTAAAAACATTTTCCTGATTGAAAGATTTTTTTTAAACTCCTCAGTAACTTTAAGCTGAATTTTGTAATTTAAGTAGTTTTTACTGCTGCATGTGCAACTATTAATCTTTTTATTTCAATAATTAGTTATATGATGCTTATAAAATGCTACAATTGTGCGTAGGTGTGGGTGGTGATGTAAAAATACAACACAACTGTGCCCATACTCGGAAAATCACATCTTCACTTTTGTGCAACATAAATAGAGAAGTCATCCATCTTTATACACAATTTGTTACCCTTAACTTTAACCCAGAAATAAACTCCTCAGTCCAATCCAGATTAGCCTTCCTGTGGATCCCTTCAGAATATTTTTGTGTTTTTGTGCAGGGAGAGCCTGGTGCCGCTGGTGCCCCCGGTGGTGTGGGACCCCCTGGTATGCAGGGAATGCCCGGTGAGAGGGGAGCTGGTGGTTTGCCTGGCACCAAGGGAGAAAGAGTGAGTATCACAACACAACTTGGATGGCTCGGCCAAATATGGCATAAAATTTAATTCACTTTATTTAAAATGTTCAATTATCAGATTTTAAAAATGAATCCTAAATAAGTTAAGAACCACTTGAGTCCTATAAACTTTAGAGAAGGAGATGTTTAAATTTCTGCATCGATTAAACAAAATTAGGGTTAGAAATGCAAAGAAAAGCAACTTTTATTTTGAAATTTGTTTTGTGAGGTCTAATTTCACAACTCACATGAGCAATATTTTAAAACCAATGTTTTGTATTTAGGGAGACGCAGGTACGAAGGGAGCTGATGGCGTCGCTGGAAAAGATGGCGCTCGTGGTTTGACTGGTGCTATTGGTGTCCCTGGACCTACTGGTGCTCAGGGTGAGAAGGTGAGACCCACAGAAGACTCCTAATTTTTATCTTTAAAAAAATCAGGATCATTTTTAGGAGCATCCGACTTGTCTGCTGAACTGCGCCCCTCTTTCTCCTCTGGTTTTAGGGTGAGTCTGGTCCTGCTGGAGTTGTTGGACCCTCTGGATCTCGTGGTGCCCCTGTGAGTCCTTTTCAAACTCAAAACCCAAATAAAAAACAGAAATAACAAACATTTGCATTACATTGATAAAAGTATTGAGCTCCAGATCACATTTAACCTTAATAATGACTCGGACAGGGCGAGCGTGGAGAGACCGGACCTGCTGGACCCGCTGGATTTGCTGGACCTCCTGTAAGTAGATGACCTCCATTAAAAATACTGCAATAACCTGATGACCTAAGATCTGAGTTAATAAGTAATGCACTTTTTGTTGCACTTTTAAATCAGGGTGCTGATGGTCAGCCTGGTTCCAAGGGAGAGAGTGGTGACTCTGGACCCAAGGGAGATGCTGGTGCTCCTGGACCTTCTGGACCTGTTGGAGCTGCTGGTCCTCAGGTCGGTTGGTCCACATTAATACCAGAAATTGTAAAAAATAATAATTATAGGAATCTCAAAGTGTACAAATCTGCAAAAACACACCGCTAAACAGAATAAGAACAAATGGAAAAACATTGTCAATCCTTATGCTGCTGGAACATCAGAGAAACTCAGAAGGATCTTCTCCAAACACAACATCCCAGTACATTTCAAACCCAACAGGCCTCTCAGACACAGGCTGGTCCAGGACAAAACACCCAAACACAAACGGAGCGGTGTGGTGTCTGCAGTCCAGTGCAGTGCAGCGAGGAACATCCAGATCTTTATATTGGAGAAACCAAACAGCTTCTTCACAGACACATGGTTCAACACAGGAGAGCCACCTCCTCAGGACAAGACTCAGCTGTTCACCTCCACCTCAAGGATAAGGGACATTTATTTGAGGACCAAAATGTTCACATTTTGGACCGAGAAGACAGATGGTTTGAGATGGGGGTGAAAGAAGTCATTTATGTAAAACGAGAGAAACCATCTTTAAACAGAGGAAGTCTCAGATTTTAACTTTCAAAAACTTATAATGCAGCTTTAAGACTGATACCCAGTCATTTTTACACCTATCAGTAATTTTAGCCATGTCATCAAAGTGGCTCCATGAATCAGACTACAAAGACCCTAACGAACCCCTATGTGAGGACTGATAGGGCAATCTGCATATGTATCTAGCTCCGCTCAGCTTTAAAACTCGAACCCCACACTCTCTGTTCTTTGAATTGAGAAAGCTCCTCAACATCTTCGGTTACAAATAAAGTCCAGTTGTTTTTTGTCTTGAACGTCTTTTGAATCTCAAAGTCTAACTTTCTGTCTTAAAACGTTTCTGTCAATAGGGACCTGCTGGCCCATCTGGACCTAAAGGTGCTCGTGGTGGTGTTGGATCCCCTGTGAGTATTCATCAACGATCTTTACAGCATTAAACGCAACAAAAATAAATCTGTGGCACGACATATTTTACTGCAAGGCACGAGTAAATCTATAGTTGTTAACCATAGAGTTAATTTTTAATTCCTTAAATCTTCATATTTGTGTATCTTTGTAGGGTGCTACTGGTTTCCCCGGACCTGCCGGCAGAGTTGGACCCCCTGGCCCCTCCGTGAGTTCTCATGAATACATAAAAAACAGACCTTAAATCCTCGGATATGTTTGTCTCTTATGGTTTTTGGGTGCCGTTTTCAGGGAACTGCTGGACCCCCTGGACCCGTTGGACCTGTTGGAAAGGATGGAGCAAGAGGAGCCCGTGGTGAGACTGGCCCTGCTGGTCGCCCTGGTGAGGCCGGTGCTGGTGGACCCCCAGGACCCTCTGGAGAGAGGGGCTCTGCTGGTTCTGATGGAGCTGCTGTAAGTGCTTTGGTTTTTATTTTGCCAGCTGAAACGTTCTTGTTGTCCCACTAACTGACTCACTGACCGCTCTGTGTCTCTGTGCAGGGTGCCCCTGGTCTCCCTGGACCCCAAGGTATTGCTGGACAGCGTGGTATTGTAGGTCTCCCTGGACAACGTGGAGAGCGTGGTTTCTCTGGTCTTCCCGGACCAGCTGTGAGTATTAGAGTCCCTTAAACTTCATTTGAGATCTAACTTTTATTCTGCTTTTCTGTCCTGTGAGAGGAACCAAACTGTAACCTATAAAATATTTACTTTTTCTTTGGGCCTTCACCTTCCTGAGATCTGAACTTTCTTGTTTTTCTTCAGGGTGAGCCTGGAAAGCAGGGACCTTCTGGCCTTGTTGGTGAGCGTGGACCCCCTGGACCTGCTGGACCCCCCGGTCTGAGTGGTGCTCCCGGAGAGGCTGGCCGTGAGGTATGCCGTTTCACTTTTCTGTTCATTTAGATCACTGTGAGAGTGAATATAACCAATACTTAATCAATGCTTACTTTCACAGGGATCTCAAGGACATGATGGTGCCCCTGGTCGCGATGGATCTCCTGGCCCTAAGGTAAGCCTTTCCTGCTGGATCCTTCTCCAAATGTCTCTAAAATGAGACTGTAGTTGCTTAGATTTGTCTCACTGGATGTGTGCTTCCACAGGGAGACCGTGGTGAGAGTGGTGCGTCTGGACCCCCTGGAGCTCCTGGTGCTCCTGGAGCCCCTGGAGCTGTTGGCCCCTCTGGCAAGACTGGCGACCGCGGAGAGAGTGTAAGCCTCCTGCTTTATGTCAAGATACAGTTTGGATAGAAGTGAATTCAATTTGTGTGGAAGTCATTTTCACTGTAACCTCTTTTTGCCCTTTAGGGTCCTGCTGGTTCTTCCGGTCCTGCTGGCATCGCCGGACCCCGTGGTCCTGCTGTAAGTTTTCAGTAATTTGTTACACCTAAGTCTTAAAGAAATTGTTTCATGCAAATGTATGACGACCTGTTTGTTTGTTCAGGGCCCTGCTGGAGCTAGGGGAGACAGAGGAGAGGCCGGTGAGGCCGGAGAGAGAGGTCACAAGGGACACAGAGGACTCAGTGGCCAGCCTGGCATGCCTGGACCTCCTGTGAGTGACCTTTGACACTTCATAAAACATCCAAACTTTGCTCTCCTGTACATGTATCAGCTGTACACGTTACCAGTATTTGTACTTTTATCTTAATCCTTTGCATTTTCTCCTACCTGTAGGGACCTTCTGGAGAGAGAGGACCCGCTGGTGCTTCAGGACCTGCTGGACCCAGAGTGAGTTCACTTGTGATTTAATGAGGCCCTATCCACTCTAGCATACATAGTTTGCTAAATTAACTAATTTTGTCGTGTTTGCATCTTCATCCCAAAGACATTTTTTGATTTAAAACAGTAGAACAATATTTTAGACCCTTAGTTTTTAGTGTATAACTACATGAAAAGCTGAAATGTTTTGAGTATAGTGACTTTGTAGTAAACTTTACCAAGTTTGCTTCATGCACCGAGTTTCAGTAACAAAAACAACAACAACAACGGTGCAATTTGGACTTGTATTTTGTCTGACTTGCTTTTCTCTGATCTGGTCACCATTAAAATTACATCACGTTCTGAAAATGTGTTTTACTGAGGAGAAATGAAGAACAATGTAAAAGAAATAAACTACAATTGCTTCCTTCTTTGCATTTGGGATTGTTCTTAATGTTGGCCTTCCTGCCACCTATTGGCCTGATTGGATATTACATAATTTTTAAACTAAATTCTTCTTTATGTAAACAAAAAAGTGGAAACAAGTGTTAAAAAAAAAATTAAAAAAGAGTAGTGCAATCAAGACTTTTTTTAAAATTTAACCTTTATTTAACCAGGTGAATCCCATTGAGATCACAGATCTCTTTTGCACGGGAGGCCTGGGCCTGAAGACAGCCTAACATGCATGTTTTTAGTATGTGGGAGAAAACCAGAGTACCCGGAGAAAACTCACACAAGCACGAGAAGAACATGCAAACTCCACACAGAAAGACCCCAGGTCCAACCGGGCATTGAACCCAAGACCTTCTTGCTGTGAGGCAAGGAAACAGTGCTAACCACTGAGCCATCGTGCTGCCCGTGAACAAAAAAGAAAATGAACAAAGTCACAAAACTCTGATTTTTTTTTTTTTTTTGCAGTTGACAGATATTCCTATCACACCGTATCAGTAAAACAGAAAGTTGAGCTGCACTGATCATTTGGTTTTGCAATATAGGGACCTTCTGGAAACAGCGGTGCCGTTGGTAAGGATGGAGTGAATGGTCTGCCCGGACCAATTGGACCCCCTGGACCTCGTGGTCGCAATGGAGAGATGGGACCTGCTGTAAGTTGTGCTCCCATTTTCTAAAATCCATTGTTTAACACCAGCATTAAGTTTGTAATTTTAAAGGTTGTGTTGTTTCAAAACAGGGTCCTGCTGGATCTCCTGGACTCCCCGGACCTCCTGGACCTCCCGGCAGTGGATTTGAGTTAATCAGCCAGCCCTTGCAGGAGAAGGGTCCCGATCCCCTCCGTGGTGGCTACCGCGCTGATGACCCCAACATGATGCGCGATCGTGACATGGAGGTAGACACCACTCTGAAGACCCTGACCCAGAAGGTTGAGAATATTCGCAGCCCAGACGGTTCCCAGAAGAGCCCTGCTCGCATGTGCCGTGACCTGAGGATGTGCCACCCTGAGTGGAAGAGTGGTGAGTCAAGGTTTTGATAAAAGAAGCTTCAAGGAAGGATGAGCTCAGGTTGAAACTCTTTAATGTGCCCCCCATTGCAGGCATGTACTGGGTTGACCCCAACCAGGGCTCTTCTCTGGACGCCATCAAGGTCCACTGCAACATGGAGACTGGTGAGACTTGTGTCTACCCATCTGAAACCATCATCCCCATGAAGAACTGGTACCTCAGCAAGAACATCAGAGAGAAGAAGCACGTCTGGTTCAGCGAGTCCATGACTGGTGGATCCCAGGTAAGAAGGCACTCATAAGAACTTCAGACTTCATCCAACATGTCAGATCAAGACGTGACCACATGCTTTGCTTCCACCCATCCCGCAGTTCCAGTATGGCAGCAATGAGGCTGATCCCGAGGACGTCAACATCCAGATTTCCTTCATGCGCCTGATGTCCAACCAGGCTTCACAGAACATCACATATCACTGCAAGAACAGCATTGCCTACATGGATTCTACCACCGGCAACCTGAAGAAGGCCCTGCTCCTTCAGGGCTCCAACGATATCGAGATCAGAGCCGAGGGCAACAGCCGCTTCACATACAGCGTCAGCGAGGATGGCTGCACGGTACGTTAGCTCCATGTTTCCATTTACATACATTTCTACAGTGGTATTTGTAAAGATATTCAAGTCTCATGAGTTTTTCTTTCCCTATTTCTCTCTTCAGTCACACACTGGCTCATGGGGCAAGACAGTCATCGATTATAAGACAACGAAAACAACCAGACTGCCCATCATTGACATTGCTCCTATGGATGTTGGTGCACCTGATCAGGAATTTGGCGTCGAAGTTGGCCCAGTTTGCTTCTTGTAAAAATGAAAGAAACATGGACATGACATTGTTGTTTTTTTTCTAGCAGTCGTCTCTAAACCCTTTTTTCCTCCTCCTTTGCAATCAAAACTCATTTGGCTGCCATTGGTCCACATGCTTAAAACCACTCTGCTGAAGACGGTGTTTGTGTTTTTCCAGTCATGCTAAGTTTTTTTGGGGACTGCTACTTTAACTGAACCACATGGACACTTTAAAAAAGAAAGAATATTTTGTTTCCACTGGCAACTAGAAAATAATGTAAACTGGTTTAAAATTTCCCCATGGACATTGTGAAAGAGAAATATCAGGTGACTTTTGCCATTTTCAACCACTGCAGAAGGACATTGAAAACAACGAATGATATGTACCATTTTTCTGGTGTTAAATAAATTGTAAAAAGTGAGAAGTGTCTTGTTGATCTAAATTCATGATACCAAGCAAAGACCAACAAAAAACAAGACAAAGAAGCTCACCTTGCAGTATGTAGATGGCTACCTCACCCCCAACTGTTTTTTTTTATGAAGATGGTGTACGTCTTTTGGGGAAGAATTAAAACTTTTAAAGGTGCTATTACCAATTCAGTGAGGTCTAGTTATTGGTATTGGTTGGTCAAACTTTGACTCTCATACTGTAACTTTTGCCACTCACGCCTGCAGAAGGTTGGTGCTACTCAAATGATTCAATGTCTTGATGTCTCTGCAGTGCAATTGTTTTCTTCTTAAGTGCTGGTTTGACAACAGAAGTTCTCTAAGAAAGGTGATTGCTACAGATGCAATGCATTTGTAGATACAAGCACTCTATTTCAGTAATATCTGCCTGCCCACGTTTCGCTGTTGATCCTTTTTATCCGTTTCCAACCCTGTGGAAAACTCCTCTTACAAAAAAATCCCACCATCACACATCTCCCAGTTGTTTATGTTGTTTGTTTATGTCTTTTCGCAAAGTGTTTCTTAAAATATAAATTGAAGCAGGCCAACTTTCATGGTTTTAAAAGAGAGATTCTGTACTTATTTTGTACATGTATAATAAATCGAGATGTTTTTAATTATTTTTGGGTGCTGAAATAAAGCATGTGAAGTGGTCTACTCAATGGCAGTTTTCACTGTTCTGTTTGGCAACTGTTGGAAAAAAAAACTGAGCTTTAAGAATTCAAAAAAATATAACTGTGTGTTGTTTATTTAGGCAGCGAGGTTTACAGTATAAAAAAAGAAAGAGTTTATGTTTGAAAATCAGTTGTTCCACAACAGTTGTACTGAATACAGTTCTGTTAAGCAGCAGTGAAAACAAGGCCAACGTCTAAGAATCCAAATTAGCTTTTAGCTTATGTTTCGGCACACAGTACTCAAATGTTCAAAAACAGGTAACAGATCTGGAAAGAACATTTTTGTATATCAAGAAGACCCACTCACTTGTTTTCTGTATTGACTCCTACTAATTGACATCATTGTGCCTTGATCTTCAGCTCTCACTAGAGTGGGTCGCAGCAGAGTGTGAAATGGCTGGGATGGGAATCAGTACTTCTTAATCTGAGGCCATGGTCCTCAACTGGAAAAGGGTGGATTGCTCTCTCTGGATTGCCTCAAATGGAGTTCATCTCAGTGTTTTGTTCACGAGTGAGGGAAGATTGACGTGCAAGATTGACAGATGGATTGGTGTAGCGTCGGCTGTATTACACTCTGTGGTGAAGAGGTAGCTGAGCTGCAATGCAAAGCTCTCTGTTTATCGGTCTACGTTCCTACCCTCACCTATTGCCGCAAACTTTGGTGAGATCGCAGATCCAGACGGTTGAAATGATTTTCCTCTGCAGGGTAGCTGGATGCTCCCTTAGGGATAGAGTGAGAAGTTCAGTTATCTGGGAGAGACTCAGAGTAGAACCGCTGCTCCTCCACATCGAAAGGAGCCAGTTGAGGTGGTTTGGGCATCTGGTAAGGATGCTTCTTTGTCGCCTCCCTAGAGAGGCGCTTTGGGCATGTCCGACTGGGAGGAGACCCCGGGGAAGACCCAGGACACAGTGGACAGACTACGCCTCTCTGTTGTCCTGGGAGTCCTCCCAGAAGAGCTGGAAGAGCTGGCTGTGGAAAGAGATGTCTGGGCCTCCCTGTTCAAGCAGCTGCCCCCGTGATCCGACTTTGGAACAAGCGGAAGATGATGGATGGACTCCTAAACCTGTTCAGCGTCACAGCATGGCAGGTGCATGCCCCTGTGGTCAGTGGGTGAAAGGCTGAGTATACCTTGGATAGATCACCAGTCCATCAGTCACCCCAGAGGCAGACAAACCTGTCATCTTAGAATGGTAAATGAACTGTACTTGCATAGCATCTTTCTACCTTATCATGATACTCAAAGAGCTTTACAACACAATCTGTGTCCTTATTTACCCATTCATACAGCACTCTACTATATCTGTACATAGATTAATCAGTACTTTAGATCACATTCATACACCGATGGGACACACATCGGAGGCAATGAGGGGTTCAGTGTCTTGCCCAGGGACACTTCAGCATGTGCCTGAGGTGGAATTCAACCCCCAACTCTCCCATTGGAGGAAGACTGCTCTAACCACTCATCCACAGCTGACCCTACCAACCTACCTAGAACCAACCATGTATGTTTTTGAACTGTGAAACTGGAGTACCCGGACAGATGCTCGAGAACATGCAAACTCTGAAACAGAAAGGTCAGGTCAACCCAGGATCCAAACCTTTGGCTTAATTCCCACAATGAAACACTTCCAACCGTGACACCACCGAGCAGCCCTTCTGAATCCGACGATGATGCAGAGTGGCCTCGTGTGGAAATCTGCTGCAACAGCGACGTCAAAAGCAGCAAGTGAATATTTAAAGGACGTTTTTGACGGGGTCTGTCTTTGTGTGTCTCATACCAAAATATCTCCTTAACTGATTTAAAAGAAACGTACAGAACACAACTTATTATTGGCTGAACATCTACCGTGGATTACCGGTCAAATTGATTCAAGATGGGCGACACAGCCAACTGGTTTTAAAAAACACAAAAATGGCCACAACTCCGTTAACTTTACAAATACAGACCTAAAATTTGGTGTGGTAGAAGCTGAGACTGATCCCCAACAATCTTCTAAGTGCTAACAAAATACTCAAGAACTTTGTTTAAATCGGTCAATTTTAGACAGATTTTGTTTGGAAGTAGCTGAGTCACAACAAATACTCCAGGTGCTACTCAGAGTGTGGAATAGCTCTTTTTGTCACTTCAAAGTTATTTAGCTTGAATCAGGTTAACTCCGAAAGGAAACCAGGTTTAGATGTATAACACATACAATGATTAATTTCATAAGGTTTATTAAAATTGATCCGGTAGTTCATTTAGTAACAGATCGACATACAACCACAGACACGAGCAAACTTATTATCATCTGCGTATTCATCAATAGACGATAATTTGTACAGTTATAAGCAAGATAGGGAGGGATTTTTGTTAATTATTTAACATTTCAGATTAAAAACAATAAAGACATAAATAAACAGCCAACAACAAACTAATAAACTGCTCACTGTTCATTTATTTCAATAAACTCCAAAGAAAAATAAAACATATTGCATATCTGCAAAAACAGAGGCAAAGCTGTAGCAAAATGGTTAAATCTCAGTGCGTCAAAAACACTTTATCCATCGTTGCGTTTACTTCCTGTAAAAACAGACAACATTAGATTAATTAATTCATTAAGAATGCTGAAAAGATATATATATAAATTATTATTATTTTTTTACCTTGGCAGGGTGTCACTGTAGGGATCCCTATGGAAAGAAAAGAGGCTTTGCTTTAGGTAACCACGCAGAAAAGTGAATACTGTTTGAGGTAATCCTGACTAAAAGCTGCCAAGACATAAATAATTACCAATAATCTGGAATACTGATGAACTAGAAAAGATACCGTTCCTTTAATGGAAAGGCAAATTAAAAAGGCAAAAGTCATAATAACAGACAGACAGACACTTCTTACGCTAATTGTTTGTTTGAGTTCATTTTAAACATCTTTTTTAAATGTATTTTAATCATAACTTTAACAATATAGTTTAAAATATTGTTGATTATCTTAATATTTGTAACTTAATTTTTATGTAGTATATTTTGTATTTTGTAGTACAGTTTTTTTCTTTACATTTGTCCATTTTATATTTTTAATAAAAGCACCAAAACCACATTTTATTGTGTAATTCACATAATTGTTTTCCTTTTGATTATTATTTTTTTGTATTTTGTAATCAAAGTATCTCCGCCTGTTTGGAAACAGTGTGTTAAAATTGTTATTTTTGAATCATTTATCATTATTTAGTTTTTTCCCCCACATAGAAATACATTGCAATCTATTTAATTACTTTAAAATCATTGTTCTCTGAAATTTATGTCAGCACCTTTGCTCTATTTAATTTTTTTTATGCTCCATTTAGCTTTTAGCCACAATTTTGCCAATTTTAGGTTTAAATTATGGATTTGCTATGTTTACCTCAAAGCAACTGTTTGCTCATTTTAGTTTTTAGCTGTGGTTTAGCTACATTTAGCTTTTAGTTCAGTTCTGCTGGTTTTAGCCTTTGTTCTGCTTGCTTTAACTAATATTTCACTTCACATTTCATTCTTAAAACTATATATATAGCAATGTCCTTCAGCCCTCAGTATTCACAGAAAATTCACGTTGTCTATTTTTTTGTATTGTTTGTTTTTCTCCTCTTCTTTCTGGATGATACAAAACTGTGTTTCTATCTATATTTTGTTATATAAGGGGAATGAATATTTATATGTATTATATATTTGCAAAGGAATTTCTTAAAATGACGCTTTGGATTGGTTCCCTCTTCTAACATTTGATTATTTTAAAGTTTGTGATTTAATGAATGTTCAATAGATTTTTTTTATTTTTATTATAAATAAATAAATAAATAAATAAAATACGTATGTTTGTGGAGTGAAGGAGTAACATCCTTGAGGATGGGATGTTCAGTGTTAAAGAACCAACAAACTCCAGAATGTTTTTGCTCGTGTAACCCCGTAAAATGCGTCACCAGCTCCAAAGACTTTTGGACTTGGTCCTCACTGTTGGGCCATGATGAGAGGGATGCTGTCAGACTCCATGGGTGAGGCCCGTTCTCCCGTCCGGCAGTTGAACATGGGCAGCGTGGACAGAGGCAGAGGGACCCCGCGCTCGGCAGCCATGCTCCTCAGCTCGTCGGCGTTGCTGTGGATGGTGTGATGGTGGTACAGCTGGATGCTGCGGCAAACACAGCGACACATTCAGCGTCCGACAAGAGACAACTCTGACTGATTCAAAACAAATACACTGACAGAAAAGCATCAGAACTTATTGAAGTACCTGCTGCAAAACTTTACATTTCATAAATGCATTAGCTGAAATACTTCTACACTTAGAACGTCAAATATTTATAAAAAATGTTGAAATGTAATAAGCACGTTTTGATTTTCTGATTGACATTTTATGGCTAGTTAAAACATGGAATGTTTATATTAATAAGATATAATAATCTTAAATGATGTGTATAAATATTTTACATATACGGGTTATCTTATCTTATCTTTTTCCTTATTTATAATTACAGAAAGATTAAGAAAATTATCTCTACTTTACTTGTAACAGTAAATTACTTGTTAAAGCCTAACAATGTGATAATAAAATGACTAATAACGTGTTTGTATATAAATATTGCTTGAATAAAGGAATCATTTGAATATTTAATGTAAAGAAAAAACAATAACTTAAATATTTAACATTGCTGCATTGTTGTTCTTGTTGAGCTTTTATTTATAAACTTGCTTTGTCAGATTATCATATTTTGAAAAATAAAGTATTTATAGCTGTAATCTTTCAAAATGTAACAAAGAAACACTTAATTCTGAATAAAAATGTAGGTAAAACTGTCTATAAATCAATGTTTAATAAACAGGTCTTTAAAATGAAGTGTATTTGGACTGAATCAACCATTAAAATTCATATTTTTATGTATTTGGTTAAATTAAAATACAACTTTTGTTGTTAATAAAATGTCAGTAATCTGTGAGCGTGGTCCACCCAAAAATATGGATGAGTTTTCCTGTCAAAGCACATTTAAGGAACAAATAAACAAGAAAGTTATCATTAAGACATTAAAGGTCATATTTGTTAGCAGAACTGCCCATTTAGAAGTAATTTGTAAAAGTCTACAGAAGCTTAAATATATAAAATTTAAACTCTGGATAAAAGTGCTAACCTCTATTTTACATAGTTTTATATAAACTGTTGATTTTATTTTGTGCAAATAATTAAAAAAAAAATGGAAAGTTTGTCAGAGATCTTGAAGGAAACTAAAATACAGTGATGTAATAGCACCGAGTTTTATGACACGGGGTTCACCTCAGCAGGACGAATCACATTTTACTTACTTGTTTGTTCTTGCGTTCCTTTTTTCACTGAAAAACAAAACGCTCCATGTTCAGTTTCTGCCTGACAATATTTGAAGCAACATTTCTGGTTCTCTAAAAGGACTCGGAGTCCATACGTACACGCCCTCTCTCCGTCCAAACATGACGTAGGCCAGCAGCAGACACAGAACGATGGCGACGATCAGGGGCACGATCACAGTCACCATGTAGTCTGGGAAAAAGTCTCTGCTCGGGGGAGACTCAGGAGGGTCAAAGTCACCCCCGGCCTCTAAAATCCCCGAACCCGAGCTGGGAGCAGGTGCGTCTGGTTCCTGCTTCGTCAGGTCAATCTGCAGGGAGAGACAGCAGAGACATCAGCACACCTGCTCTATTTGTGTCTCTTTATGCCGTTGTCCTGTCCTCTCATGCATACTTTTTGTCTCCATGTCTCCTTGCTTGTCCTTTTGTCTATCTGTGCACACTTTATGTATTTTCACATCCTTTATTTGTAATTTTATGTCTCCTCATGCATCTTTTTGTCTCGTCGGTCTCCTTTAATGTGCTTCTTGAAAATATTTAATTTTTCTATGTTGTCCAATCTTTGTCTTTTGTTTCCTTATGCTTATTTTTTGTCTTTTTAGGCCTCTTTTTGGATCTGTTTGATCTTTCCATAGCTCCTCATGCATATATTTGTTTGTTTTTTTATCTTCTTTTGTGTCTTTCTACTCTTTTTATGCACATTTTTTGTCTTTTAAGTTTTCCTTTCTGCTTCTTGTGTCTCTTCTTTAAATGTATCAACTTGCATTAAATGCTTACTTCTTAATAAACTCGGTTTCACGTTTTTTTTTTAGCTAACTTTAGCAAAGTCACTCAGCATTCAGACTTTGCTGGAAAAGTCTCATTTTTGTAACCGACGTCTCACCAGCTCCGTCTTGCACCAGGTGATGCAGTTGCTGGGAATCCTGCAGAAGTTGCATCCTCCGGGGGCCTTAACCCTGGTCCCTGCTGCACACTGCTTCTGGTGCCCTGCAGTCCACACGCTCTGCAGACACTTTGAGAAGAACTTCTCCGACCCCACCTTTACATACACGCTGACACATATCAGATTTTTATTAAAAACACACGTTTGTCAAAGCTTTGCTATGCACGGCTGTTTACCCTTCATAGTGTCCAGCAAGAGGGAGAGGAACTCTGCCACCTCGATCCAGGGCGTTGGTAATATTTACAATCTCCACACCCTCTGTGTCCCACAAAAACTGCAAATCCAGCTTGATCTCCTTCTGAACAGAAGAGGGCAGCACCTTCTCAACCTCCCTCAGCTGGATGAAGAACTCAGCTTGATAAGGCAGCATCTTCTCTGTGAGAGACATCAGCCACTTTACATTCCTTTTCACCCATTCATCTCTCCTCATGTGTTCACTCATACACACCTGGGACGACTTTGATTACAAGAATCTGTCTGGCTGTATCGTAGCTGCGTTTGTTGATTGCGTAAATCTGTCAGAAAAGCAAAAACAGCAAGTTTACTCCCATAATAAGAAAACATGAGTTTCAGCTGGGAAGTTCGCTCCATGAAAAACGCTGATTCAGCATTTGATACACTTTTAGCTAGCCTTATGCTACTTTTGGCTTTTAGTTTTTGTTACTACTGTGTTTTTTGCTCTTGCGTTTTTTTGCATAATTTACACGCCCTGCGACTTATACGCCGAAGCAACATATTTATGACTTTTTCCACTTTAGACATATTTGGACTGATGTGACTTATAGGGCGGTGCGACGTTTATGACAGAAAATACGGTATTATCTATGAGCTTGCCCTTTGCTTCTTTTGAATTTTAGTTACCTTTTTTTTAGCTTTTAGCTGGCCTTATGTTATACGTTTAGCATTTGTCAGCTTTTGCTACTTTTAACTTGCCTCATGCAACTTTTAAATAGTTAGCCCTTTTCATTTTTAACTTCTTGCTACCTTTAGCTTTTATTCAACCTTTGGATACATTTATTTTACTGTTAGGTTGCTTATTGCTACATATACTCTAGCTAGCAGTTTTCTATATTTAGCTTTTAGCCTGCTTTTTGTCTATTTTTAGCTAGGTTTTTTTTGTTGTTGCTACTTTTAGCTTTTAGAAATTCTTATGCTAATTTAAGTTTTTAGCAACCTTTTAATCACTTTTAGCTAGCCTTGTGCTAATTTTGACTTTTAGTTTTTGTTCCAGTTACCTATGAGATTGTCCATTGCTTCTTTTGAATTTTAGCTAGCCTTTTTTAGCTTTTACCTGGCCTTATGTTATATGTTTGTATTTTATATTGCGCCGCTCAAGGTGGCTGCATGTAGGAGCATCTCTGTTACTTTCATTCTGAGATTTTGCTTTTGGAAACTTTAATTCCTCTTTTTCTGGATGTAAATCACATTTTTTGGATGATTGTTTCCTCTGGTATCAGATGCTGTGCAGCTGGAAGGATTTTTACTGAAACTTTTTTAGTTTTGGACATTTGTTATGATGCGTAACCATGGCAACAAGGCAGTTTCTACAACCAACAGCAGCTGATTAACATCTCAAAAGCTAACTGTGCTCAAGTGCCTGACCACTGAGATCCTGGAACTAGCAGGAAACACGGCTCATGACAGCGGAAGGACAGGATCGTCCATCAGCACCTACAGTTGGCTGTCCGCAGCGATGAGGAGCTCAACAAGCTGCTGGGAGGAGTGGCCATTGCCCTGGGAGGATTTCTGCCCAACATTCAGGTGATCCTGAAGCCCAGGAGGCCAACCAAGTGCAAGTAAACAGATCAACATCTGTGGCCAGTTTTTTCAGATCTGCTATAAGACGGACCATCACAAGAGATCCTTCCCGCCCACAACCATCAACATCTAGAACAACTCTTTTATGAAACAAGGAAAATGAGCTACAACAACATTTAATTTCCCTCTGGGATTAATAAAGTATTTTTGAATTGAATTGAATTGAATGTTTAGCATTTTGTTAGTCTTTTGCTCCTTTTAACTTGCCCCATGCAATTTTAAAATTTTAGGTAGCCCCTTTCATTTTTAGCTTTGAGCTAAGCTTTTGCTACATTTAGCTTTTATTCAGCCTTTGGCTACATTTACTTTTAGCTAGCTTTTTGCTATGTTAATTTGCTTATTGCTACATAGATTCTAGCTAGCATTTTTCTACATTTAGCTTTTAGCCAGCTTGTTTTTTTTATATATTTTTTTTACTTTTAGCTAGTGTTTTGCAACTTTCAGCTTTTAGAAATTCTTATGCTACCCTTTAATTACTTTTAACTTGCTGCTACTTTTAGCTAGTCTTTCTTTTATTACGTTCAGCTTGCACTTATTTACTCTTAGAATATAGGTTTCATTACAGATTGCTACCTTTAACATTCAGCTACCAATCAGCTGCTTTTAACTTTTAGCTATTGCTTTGCTCCTTTTAGCTTCTGTTCTCCTTTTTTTAAAACAACTCAGATCATTCTAACTGCAGAAAGGACCTTCTCTCTGTCTCTGAGCTACTTGCCTATTTCCTACATTTCCCAGAATGCCTCGACACATTCTGTCCTGCATTGTTCATAGTGACTTTCCTTCAGTTTAAATGTGAATCAACCAACAACAAGCAGCTACTGAAGCAGCATCTATAAGCAAACTGTAATTAGTTTTACCTAACAATTGTGCATTAGTAGCATTTTAAACTAAATTGTGGTTAAATCTTTAACATTTTACAAAGCTTTCAGTGCCATTTTTCTATTAGACAGTTTATAAAATGGAAAATTGTGTCATGTTTGTTTTGAGAAAAATAAGACAATAACAACAGCTCGGTTCTTTTTTTATAGATCTTGAACCCCAAACCTGGTTTTTATTCCGAGCAAAGCCAAAAATGTGAGACGTAATTCAGCTATTTTTAAATTTTATTTGATTGAAACTAAAAGATGCAGTTCAGAAATGTTTGCGTCTTCATCTTCAGGATCCATTTTACTGTTCTTTGAACGTAGGCTCAAAATAACTGCTAAAGACAAGACCAAAGCTTTTGTCTCCTTAGATCTGACAGCAAGTCCTGACATTTATTGATGTTAGTGTAAAGAATAAAAATAAAAACTTCAGACCTCGATGATGGTTTTTCCTGGAGATGTTGGGGTGCCGTACAGGAAGCCATTATCTAAGGGGTGTCTTTGGATGAAGCGCAGCCACTCTGGGAGGTCTGGGAAACCCTGCTTGTTGCACTTAAAAGTCATGGGATCGTTGTACAGGTGTCCAACTTACATGAATATAAACAGAAAGAAAACACGGTAAGGAAATATTATTAAAAATAATAATAATAAAATACATAAATCCAAGCTCACCATAAAGTTTTGCCAAAGGTTCAAAGTCATTCTGGAAAGTCTCTCTCAGCAGCTCGTATGTAAATAACCTCCCCACAGGAATGGTGACTTTGATCTCTGCATTGGCCCCAAACAAGCTGCCAGCGAAAACTGAAGCAACACAGCAAAAAAAATAAAACTTACATAAAAATTAATAAACTGCCAAAACTGTAAAACAAATGGACAGAACAGTCCGCTTTCTGTTGTAATCTTGTAAGTTTGCATTCAGAGGTGACATCACAGATAAAGAGCTCGGAATGGCACAGAACTGTGACCAAAGCCTAAAGATCTGTCGGTGTTGAATATAAAACTCGCCTGTTAGGAAGATGAAGCAGCTCCTGAAGTCTGCCATCTTGTTTTGGTTTGTGACTGACGGCGCCAGCTGGAGAGGGGCTTGGTCACAGTAAAACTCATGTCAGAGCTATTTTTAAAACCATCCGAGAGGTGTCCGTCTGCAAACTGAGGACTGTCTCGGCCTTTGTTTTCTTATTATTTTGGTAATTGTTCTGTAAATCCCATTTAACATGTTAAGTTTTATTACGTCTGTTGCTCGACGCGTGTGTTTTACATTTTATTTGTGCCTTTGTTTGCTCCATTTTATCACAGCCTTGAATGTCTCAGTCTGGTTGACTGTTTTTGACTTTGATTTCCCGTACCTTCATCATCATCACCTGTTTAACTTCTACTAATTCGTGTTTTCAGTTTGTATTATCTGGCAGCTGCAGAAGGCAAACAGGCAGTAATGTTAATTATAAGACATGTTGATATTTTGGCTTGTGTTTGCATGTAAAATGTGCATTCATTTGTCTGGTAACTAGATACATTTTGATGAAACGTTCAAGAAATTATCAATAAATCTGATTAAAGTTTGGAGCCAACCCAGTTCAAGATGGCCGCCAGAAACATCTGATATTAGGAACACAAAAATGGCTACAACTCTGACAATTTTACTAATATTGAGCTAAAATTTTGAGTGGTGGTAGCTGAGAGTCATCTTTAAACAATATTACCAGAAATATTTTTGGTTTATTTTATCAAATCGTCCGAGTAAACTTTAGAAAACTTGAATGTGATTCTGAAAGTTTACCTTTTACTGAGTGCATCCATCTGCCATTTTTATTAAAGTAATCTGGATGGAGGTCACCTCTCCACTAAGTTTCTCTAAATGTTTCGTGCTCATTCTCTCTCAGCTGGTTCTTTCTTAGTTCTCACCGAAAACATATAACGAGTAAATGCACTTACTTTAAGCACCTACCTGACATGCTGTTTCTTGTTAACTAAAAGGGTAACAAACCTACATTAATGGGCAACAAAGAAATAAAAACATTAAAAAACACATTTTAGAGCTGCTTGCAGTCTCTTTTAAAGGCACTGAAATGTTTAATTATAACAGCAATAATCATCTTAGAAGAGTTTGTTCTGTGTATGTGTACACCTGCTGTTCTTACAAATAAAACTCTTCAAAAATAAAGAAAAACAGAAAGCAAAAGTGGGTTTAAAGATGAGGCGAAGCACTGAAAATACCTCAGCAAGACACCAGAGGACACATCTGTTCTAATCTGCGGAGAATAAACAAGTAAACACTCTTCTAAAAGGAAGTTTTAAAATAATTTTAGTTTTGTTATGCCGTTGTCACATATTGGTTGTTTGGAAAAATCCTGCAATGTGAAAGTAATAAAATGATCTTCTGATATTGATGAACATATATATATATATATATATATATATATATATTTTACTTAAGAGTTTATAGTAACTTGTGAAATATGATAATGACACCACCAAGCTGGGCCTTATCACCAGGTGGTGTAGAGAAAATTATCTGGAGCCGAGGTGACCTTCTTACAGAAAAATCCACCTCCACGCCCTCGTTTCATCATTGACAGCATTGCTGTGAAGAAGGTAAACCCTGCTGGGTTTCTGGGCATCTCCTGAAATGGGCAGAACACTCAAAAAAGGAAGTTGTAAAGGAGGGTCACAGGAGGATGCATGCTGCTTAAAAAGCTAAATATTTTTACTGATACCCAGTTCTACAAACAGTATAACATCTTATTTAAAAAAATGCGCTTTAGTCAGAGGTTCTGTGGTGTCAGGATACATAAAAATATGTTTTTACCCCACTTAGGTCTTCCTTCTGAAAAGGATTTCCTTCTCCTGCACAGCAACCAAGAACAATTCCTGTGTACGGATCCCTGTAGATTTGGTGAAAGAAATGGGATTGTGATATTAGTGAAAACAGCAGATACAACTCGTTGAAACCTGTCCTCTCCTCTCTTAGCGTCACATTTGAAATTAAAACGCACACTGTCTTGTGTGCCAAAGTTTTCATAAAAATCTCACGTGCTCATTTAGCTTTTAAAGTGTGAGTTGGGATGACTCTCAACTACTTCCACACCAAATTTGAGTTCAGTAACAATGAAATTTACAGAGTTATTGTCAATTTTGTGTTTATCATTGTCGATTAACTTCAAACAGCAGAGTGTCATTAAAATCCATTCATTTGTTAACAAAATGTAAAATCTAACCCATAATTATAAGATTGTTCAGGGGGGACAGTTGGGAGATCATTTCCAAGGGGGGCCATACCCCCCTCTGGCTCCTTCTTAATGGCGCCTCTGTGTGGAATTATTATAATAATTATTTGCATTTGTGCATGATTCAATTTACCGTTTTGCAGTTACTACTGCGCTTGCTCAAAGTCAATATAATCCGATGCTTTTGGGGTCTAACCGTATCGTACCTACTTCCGGTTTAGTCTAAAAGAGTTTATGTCCAACTCTGTTTAATCTGTGCAGTAATTCTAACACCCGGGAACATTACATGTCTCTTTCTCAACGGGAAATACCAATAAAAATAATTTAAACTAAACTATTTGTATATAACCGTCAGTAAAATTCAGGTGTACAATACCAAAACAATAGAAATTAACACCAACCGGAAAAAGCTAAAAACTTATTAGGGGGCGTGGTGCTAAATTTACGCATGCGCACTGGTGACTGTACATTAGCAGATGTGGCAAGAGAGCTATTTACCCAATTATTTATTTTTATATAAGGTGTTCAGTATCAAATATGGGGGACAAATACACGAGTCAGCTGTGAAGTGTCTGCACTTTATAAAAAGTTCAGAATTTATTTTATCTTTGTTTATCAAGGAAACGTCCAAAAATATTAACTATCGGAAAGAGTTAATACAGAAAAAAGAAGTTTGCTATTTGTTGAATGAGGGTCAGATTTCTTGCCTTTTCACTGCAGTAAACTAAATAAAGTTTGAAGCTGATTGGAACAGTAGGCAAACATTTCTGATTAGCTCGTCTCTGCTTTGTGTATGCACTCTTTTAAGAAAAGAAAAAAAAAAAAAGCAATTAATCAGTCTGGGCAGGTTCAGAACATAAAAACAATGTGATTTTCTGTCCTCGGAGCATGTCTGTGATGCAGAGTGCAGGAAGCAACACCATGGCCTCCGTGACGCAACGGGATTCCCCCGGGTCCTAAAGCCATTCTGATAAAAACAAGTTTAGTATGAAGTCCATTTTGTTTGTATGAAGACAATGTTTTTACATTTAATCTTATTCTATCAGCTGTCCCCTCTTCAATGGTTGCTACAGCAAGTCATCCTCCTCTGTCTCGCTCTGTCCTCTGTGTCCTCTGTCCCCATGTCCTCTATAGCTGCATCCATGTATCTCATCTTTGTATTTTTCATGGCCGCTGTCTTTATTACATCTTTAAATCAATGTACTCACTGTCCCTCCCCTGGACATGTCCAGACCATCTCAGTCTGTCCTCTCTCTTGGGTTTCCTGAGCCATCCCTTAGTTGTGCTGCTGTAAGCCGCATTTCTGCACTCTGTTGTCTTTTTCTCCCCATGTAAACTCCACCTGGACCAGCCAGTCGGTGTGCTGGTCAAGGTAGATTGAGGTCCATCCTGAGCCCGATTCTGTGGGTGGTCTCAGTTAAAAAGGAGTTGTTTCTTCCCACTGTCATCCGAGTGCTGGTTTAGGACGGAAGGTTGTGATGAAATGAAGATTTGATGCAATCTGCTGGCTTTTTTAGATAGATAGATAGATAGATAGATAGATAGATAGATAGATAGATAGATAGATAGATAGATAGATAGATAGATAGATAGATAGATAGATAGATAGATAGATAGATAGATAGATAGATAGATAGATAGATAGATAGATAGATAGATAGATAGATAGATAGATAGATAGATAGATAGATAGATAGATAGATAGATAGATAGATAGATAGATAGATAGATAGATAGATAGATAGATAGATAGATAGATAGATAGATAGATAGATAGATAGATAGATAGATAGATAGATAGATAGATAGATAGATAGATAGATAGATAGATAGATAGATAGATAGATAGATAGATAGATA